CATAGGTATATTACGCTCTCAGTTACTCTCAGCCAACGGTACAACACTCACAAATGCGCAGTCGTTCTTTTGAGTCATTGTACAACAAAATACTACCTTAAGCATCCAAAATAAACTTTCCATAGAAGCCGAGAATTTACACTCGGGAAAATCATAAGGAATGTATCTCTTAGTGTAAGTAGTTTGGTGTAATCACTGTAAAGGAAAAAAGAATTACAGCATTACGCTTTCAAACGTATTGTAGACGGCAGGAAGTTTACAATACATTGTACAAATCATAATGCGCTCCAGTCAACTAGTTTTCACCGTTTTAGTTGTTAAAGTAAAAAGCATTTATGGTCATGTACCGGTGCACGTATATAATGCCTGTGTCCCTTCTTTGGGATGGTAATTCAATATATTTAGCGCAGGTGGTGTGACTAGGACTGAACACCAACACAGACACTGAACCAGATAAACATTCTATCAATATTGGAATGTTATTAATTTCATGACAAACATCACACTGAGTACAGCCGGGATCATCAGCGTCACAGCGGTAGCGGAGAACATATTCCCAGAGTTGCACGTTACGCCTTTGCAAAGGCACACGGTCCCGTTCATGCCAAAAAATTGGTTCTGGGCTTTAAAAGGAAATCGTTTCCCCATTTTGATATTGTCATCGCAGTAGGAGTCACTAGCTGGAGGTATGCGGCCGAACAGGAACTGGATCAAATCGCGAGTTCCACAATCCAAAAACGTGCCGCCTATGAATCAAAACCGGAGGTACACACTTTCTATTCCAATTTACTTCCCAAAGGTCATTGTGGGCACCGTTAATTTCATCGGGGTAGCACCACGATGTTTATGTGGGACTATACGGAACATCGGTTGCCCGTTGCAACAGCGTCATGACGCTATGCAACAGGAACGAGAATGCAACGAGAGTGATCTGTCTCGGGATTATAAAGAAGTAGAAATACATTTTGTATGATTACGTATTCGATAATACTGTAGTACTGTACTGGCGTAATTAAAAATGTAGTTTGTAAACCATGGATTCTATGTCGTTATCATTTTCCGGACGTGAAGAAGCTTACCTGAGGAATTTCCACCGCCTCCGCCAAGAAAATTGGAGTAGCTGTAGTTATATGGACCGTCGGTTTTCAAGCAGTACTCGGTACCAGGTGGACATGCGACGTTTTCAGCTAAGCTAGGATTGCAACTGCCCAGTATGTCGTTGGACCTCAGGAAACCATACTTACACTGGTAACAGTTGAGCGCCAGCCCTGTAATTTGGCGGTCAGTCAGGTTATTTCGATGTATATAACTTATAAGTATCCTGGCAAGAGCGGTAGCGAAAATCCCCTTTACTTAGAGTTGTAAACTTTACCTTCTCCGTATCTGTAGTTTTAACGTTACAGTAGAGCATCTACTGAAATTCATCGCGCTACATTACGCGGCATGTTCACTAGCAAAGTCATTTTCCAGTCGGCTGGATAAACAGGAATTATTCAGCTGCGATAAGGTTACAGCATTGAAAAATGAAAGGCATTACTTGTATATATGTAAGTAAATCATGGTGCTGTGCTTGGTTTTCATGTCCCACCTGTCGATACCAAGACCCCAGCTACGAACAGCCATCCAAACCCGCTTCGCAACATGGTGAACCGGTTGCTGAAAAAGTTCCCGCAGCTTTTAAAAATATCACTACGACGGAAACTTCCGGAAAATGGTAGTATCAAGAAGTATGAGATCGCTCGAGCTGAGTATAATCCAATTTACGTTAATCTGCAACGCATATCACATATAGAACTGCAAAAGTGATCGCTGCGACGGCGTGTTCGGTGTTAAGTATTATTTACTCGTACATCGTTTTTTCCCGGTAATGTTAGGACTGCCGCCTGCTTATCGTCCAAAGAGTTCAAAGTAAATTCACTATGTTATCTATTCCGGTAGTAAATACCGTGCACGTACAGATATGAGTAATAGTAATAGTAATACATAATATTACTTATAGTTAAGAACACATATGATTAACTATTAGTGCTATCAGCGCGGAAATAATTTGACATCCACATAATCGACTGACATTTTACTGTCGATAAATGGACATAATCTAATACGCGAGAGCAATGAATCATTGAGTAATGCAGCTTGTATCTTTACAGTGGTACAACTGTCATTCTTTTGGAATCGGTCTCGATTGCATAATTACCATGCTCGGGTTCGGGTGGCACGTATTTTTTTAAAAAAAAGCTTCTATACGTGGACAGCTACAGGGTGTACCACGAAGTGAACGGTTTTGAACGGAGTGGTCACCATCACGAAGTGAAAAGAAGTGCGGATAATCTAGCTTGTTAGTAAGAGTTAGCGGGATATCTCCGCCAACCCCACTTTCCGTTGGGACGGTTGGGTTACTCATATCCGTTGTCCATTCGCGATAAAACGTGGCCCATGCGCCTCATTCTACACTTCAAATAAAATTTTGTTAGTTAAAACCCTGTAATTCGGAATAGACTGCTTTCGTGTGGCGCTTGCTTTACATGCAGGTAAACCCCGGCTCATCGGCTGACCTGTAATCACATAGCAATTTCATTATTAATATTTTAGTGTGTCACCTTATGCACAACTTTTTTTTCGTAGTCATATCTTAAAGGGTCCAAAGCGAAAATCGGAAGCGAAGTAAATACTGCTTCCTCGGCGAACAGTAGCTGTTCTACCCTTTGCAGTGGAAACGCTGGGAGTGCTCGGAGAAGCCGCGAAAAACATTGTCAGTTTCATTGGACGCCTGATTCGGGAAAAGACCGGAGAAAGCCGATCTACCGCCTTCTTGAAGCAGCGCATTAGTTTAGCGATAATGAAGAGAAACGCTGCCGCAGTTTTAGCCTTTAGGCACTTTGCCGGGCAGAAATAAATTTGAGGAAGGGAATGATTTTGGTTGTTTTTGAAATTGTAACCGTAGTATAATCATTGTTGAACACGAAGGAAACCAACAAAACATTACGGACTTTTTATTCCATTCACTACCTTTCAATGATTCGATCCGTCCACAACCTTTTCCGGCACTGCCTTTAAATCCGTTATCTATGTTTACTGGCAGTTGCGAACGAACCTTTTTATATTTATTACTCACTTTCCACCTCAGCTGTTTATTTTAAAATTATTTCAAGATTTGTGCAAGGTCATTAAATTTGCCGCTGATTACAGATCACCTGTTACGCCGTCAACGACATTGTATCTCAGATGGACCATAATGCACAATGGCATTTTTTGCCCTGTGCGTAGAAAAAGATCAACTCGCATTGGGCAGCGCATCGCCATCCAGTATCCCAAAGTATGGGTTATAATTCTGCATTCTAGCTTTTGCTCAAAGGAAAAAACAACACATGGTTCAAGAAATCTTTTAGGGCTGCTAAAGATTCTTCTAATTAAGCTCCACTGTTCATTGAAGCGCTATTCCAGAGAGATATCTCCACCCACAAACCGCTAAGAAATTCGGATCTGATAGCATCATGTGTTACCGATTACTGTAGGTCAATTCTGGCAGATTTCATAAGCGCTTGCCAATGCTCCATGAAGAAACGCAGTAAAGCAGTCCTGACACCGGAAATCCGCCTTGGCCTTTGGGTGAACCTTGAAAGGATCACACATTGGCTCCTGTGCCGAGCCGCAAGTGATTGTAATGTCCATAAAATACTCTCGATCATGCACTAACTGCAGAAGAGGTAACAGATGCTGACTGGCGCAAAGATCTCTGTTTGTTATCAAAGAGCCACTGAAGGACAGAAATATTCTGGTTGTGACGTTGTACAGGAAACCGATTAGCTCGCCTGGCAGTGTAGTTATGTTGTTCACTTCGAAATTGGCTGCACGCAGATGCGGAAGATTCAGCGGTGAGGATGTCTTGAGCGTAGTGATTAAGTTCCATTTCACATTTAGATCCTAAATATAGCACACTGATTGTGAAAAAACGGAGCATTTTCCACTTTGAGCTGTAAGAAAAGTGATGTGGTATTATAAATGCAGGGCTTACCGGCTTATAATACCACATCACGTTCTGCTGTTGCGTAACTGCGTAAATATGTACAATGTCTGAGTGTACCAACGTTCGCAGAGTTCTCTTGTTTAAAACAAGATATACGTTGGTCATTTGTACTGTACATACTTTGACAAATTATGTACAGTACAGTGCACCCACGCGTACGTCGAACCATCGCGTTCACAACTCGCATTTTCGCACATTTTGCTTACAGTACCGCTCATACCGTACTATTGTAAGCTGTATTGTACTTCGCCGTTCGCCATATCTCAGCACGTGGTCACTTTTTTCCAGTACTCGTATATCCATATAATTATGGTTATTGGCTACCTCTATTCGTGTGACTTTCTGTGTTACAGACACATAGAAATGCGATCTATTGATCACGGCTGTTCATTCTATAACACGCCCCAAGGGGCGCCGGTGACCATTTTCTTAAAACGTTTAATATAACTATACATAAGTTACCACATGTTGAAAAACATGTGAGTATAAAACTTTTTAAGGTACGGTGTAATAGTGCAGTAGGTCACTGCGTTTTGCGGGCAATGATTCACGTGGATGCACTTTGTTCCAAAATCGCTTATGCGCGCTACATTCAAGTGGGTGAATTGATTCAGAAGTGTGGACATTGTCTAGCAAAACATGGTGAATTAAAACTGTGATGATGAACTAGCTAATCTTCTAATCTTGAAGTTTATGTGTCATCAGGCTGAAGAAGGCTAGAACTAGCCTAGAAGGCACTCTAGCAATATAGTCAGGAACGCGTTTAAAGGTTTGGCTTTGCACGGCGCCTTTACGAGGTCACTTCGCTTAAAGAGGGTCAATAACCAGACCGTATGCTCACCTCAAGACGGGCTGGCAAAATCGATAAATCAAACTCCGTCAGTTGGTTCTCTGTCAGAATCAGCGCTTTCAGTGCCGGCGTTCCATCGAACACTCCCGGTGCGAGATGACCCAAGCCGGTGTTTGTTACTTGCAGGAACAATAAACTATCAAAACCCTGGAACATCCTCGCATCTAAAGACAGCAGCTGACCGCGGTAAAATTTCAAGATTAGTAACGAACTTTTGACATTGGCGAGAATTGACTTGATGGCAGCGGTATCGTTGAAAATGAATGTGAAGAACCCCAGTGACTGCAAATGCGACCAGTGCGGCAGGGTTGGAATATCCTCTGGATACGACTCGGTATAGATATTGTCCAGGGTAAGTATGGCAATATTATCGGGAAGAGCACTGGCGTTGAACGATTCGGTCATTGCCTGACATTTTGAATACGTGTCGTTGCTGAACGTGAATTCCTCACAGAGGTCGTCTTGGGGAAAGTGGGGCATCGCCGCCTTATGGCGTCTTGCGGTTGCTTGTGCCCACACGTGGAGAACCGGCAGAATCACTACTATCCAAGCAAATTTCATAGTGGATAAAAGATCACTACTGCATTCGCATATATTTCTAACTATCAAACCTGAAACCACTCCTCACATTAGGAACCTTTTTAAGCACACTATTGAAAACGGTAGCCTTGCTCAAGCAGACAGAAAACCCGCTATTAATACCGCACATTTATGACTGAACGACTGCAGCCTTAGGCTATTCTGTATGTGGAACATGCTTTCTGGGAAAGTTTTACGATGCCGGTACCATTTTTCATTACCTTATGTGGACCTTTCTTTTTGCGGTATCAAATAGCAGTTCCTTTCAGTCAATCAAGCAAACTTTTGGGACATGGCATACTACATAATTATACAGTACACCATGACGATGCGAAATAATGTATAACATATACATCAGTGCCGAAGCAGTGTACATACATTAGTGACATTGGTGACGAAGCACAATCACACCATGAAACTATGGAGTGGAATTATATAATACAGTGCCAGAATACGACTAACTTTGGCGATTTCTGCACCTATGGCACAGTTCGTACACGACCATTTTCTGGATCACATTATCGGTTCGTAGTGCAGTAGTCACTTTCAGACTGCGTAGTCGGGTGTAGTCTCTATCGTCAGAACTTTTGTAACCTTGACAGCATGCGCACCTGAATGACACTACAAGACAGCTTGCTCCACTGAATTTGCGGTAGTTCACTGCAGTTAATATAGTCAAAGTAGTCCACTGTAGTTTCCGTAGTCCCTGTAGTCTCCGTAGCCGCACGTAGTCCCCATAGTCCCGTGTAGTCTCCGTAGTCCCGTGTAGTCTCCGTAGTCCACTGTAGTCTCCGTAGTCTCATGTAGTCTCATGCAGTCTCCGTAGTCTCATGTAGTCTCATAGTCTTATGTAGTCTCCGTAGTCCACTGTAGTCTCATGTAGTCTCCGCAGTCTCATGTAGTCTCCGTAGTCTTATGTACTTTCCGTAGTCTTATGTAGTCTCCGTAATCCACTGTAGTCTCCGTAGTCTCCGTAGTCCACTGTAGTCTTCCGTAGTCTCATGTAGTCTCATAGTCTTATGTAGTCTCCGTAGTCCACTGTAGTCTCATGTAGCCTCCGTAGTCTCATGTAGTCTCCGTAGTCTTATGTACTCTTCGTAGTCTTATGTAGTCTCCGTAGTCCACTGTAGTCTCCGTAGTCCACTGTAGTCTTCCGCAGTCTTCCGTAGTCTCCGTAGTCTTATGTAGTCTCCGTAGTCACATGTAGTCTCATTAATCTCACGTAGTATCCGTAGTCTTATGTGGTATCCGTAGTCTCATGTAGTCTCCGTAGTCCCACATTGTTTCTGTAAAGTCCACTGTAGTCTCCTTAGTCAAGATGTGCGGCGATGTACGAATGCGTCGTGAATGTGCGATTA